CCCCCACCCCACCCCCTCCTCCTGCCATTCACAGGGCTAAATGAAAAGAGGGGATTCAGGGAACGGCTCACGGAGCTGAATTGGACTTGGTGGCGGCGGAGCGAGCATAGAGGCGGAGACGTCATACTGATTACAGATGAGTGCAGGAACAGACAGAAGGCCGGTCGGGGACGGAGAAAGAACAAAAGACGGAAAGTCGTGTTTGTAAATCCCTTTCCCTTATAACCTTCTGCTTCAGATATGAGAGGGGCTTTTAACTCGACCTCCTCCACCTTCCCATTACTCCTGAGCAAAAAATTTAAAAGAAATTTAAAAAGTGGGAGTGGGCTCCTGGCACATATCGTGCATAATTTATGACTGCTGCCAAGGCGAGATGAAAGGAGGAAGGGGGGTACCGACACCAAGGAAAGGAAAGGGGGAATGAGCTGGACACTTTTTTTTTTTTAGTTTCCGTTCCTTGTTGCCCTTGCCATCGTTTTCCTGCATGTTTGTTCTGTCTCTTGGGCTGAACCAAGCTGGCATGAAGGCTTTAGAGAATACRGAACAATAGTGCGTCCAAAAGAACAACGTAAAGAAGTGGAGCACGGCTACAAAAGCACGACCCTATACATATGGGGGCTGGACACAGGCCAGGCTGAAAGGCCCGAGCGGGTAATATTTGTAAGGAAACACTCTCCGCTTCTAATGCAAGGTTTTACGCTCAAGTAGCTCTTTACACATAGATGGGCCCTGTGGTGGGGAGTACCACCAGAGCCATATTACGAATTGGCTGTTTTTGAAGAGCATGAGTCGTCGACGGGGAGGAGTGTGTGGGAGCTGATGGGGAATGAGCGCATTAGGGCAACAGCGTGCTACTAATGCTGCTGTTGTTTGTGTTTCCACGCTGCTTTCTTCACAGATCCTTGTGTGGCACACACGAACAGAGAAACCTGTCCTCGTAAATGAAGGGAAGAAAGGATTCACAGACCCCAATGTGGAGATTTGACCATTTGTTCCCCCMCTTCAAACTATGGTAAGCATCAGTTCTGAAGAGGCTGTTATTACTGAGCAGAACCCTTCATCCATAAACACCACATCATTTCAAAAGGGGGATTATTGCCATTTTGTCTGACCTGGTTAGATTATAAAGAGCAGGTGTTTTTAATACTTCCTAATAAACCAAACAGTAGTTTCCAATTTTCTTCTGTTAAAGCACAATTACAACAGCTGTTGTCCATTATTACGGTAATAAACAGGCTTAGAAAGAACATTAAGGCTAATTTAAGTTCATTAAACCCATTTTAATCCTTTCTTGCCGCAGGTGGTTGGCCTTGGATCTGCGACGGGAGAAAATAGTCAAGTTTCCCAAGAAGTGCAATCAAGTCTTAATTATAGGAATTAAAAAAACAACAACAAACAAAAGGGTTGAAAGTGGGATTTAATCCTCGTCATTTTTTCTAATACGGACCAAAAAAAGGACATAAGTATATTAAAGCACAGACACGTTGGAGGCAGTAGTCGTTTGCTGAAGGGCAAAGTGGACGATGTAAAGGATGCCCCACAGGGTTTAACTGGACAGCTGTGGCCTGTGCCTCCCACTGAACGCGGAACTGGAGACCCGAGAAAAGAGACAGCACACTACGAACAAGCAACCAGCCAGCAGATCCAAGCAAACGAGTTTCTTTCACTTCAAAATTTTAAGAAAAAAGGGTCTAAAACAAGATCTGCGCATGAAGATTTCCACTTAAAGACGTGGTCGTCAGCACTGGATACAAACAAGGACAAAGACGTCTCATSATGATGGTTTTATTGTTTTTCTTCGAGCAAAAGCAAACAGGGCAAAAGGAGGGAATGTTCTTTTGATAACCATGAAACGTTTGCTGTAATTTAACCTGTTTTATGAACACTTGTACTACTAGTTTAATAGTACTGACTCCTACCTTCATTTACTGTTGGGTTATCATTGTCCATTTTACGATGTCATTCAAACTCGTCCATTTACAGCAAGTCATCCAGAGAGAAACTCCCCCTTGTGCTGGGAAATTGAGCTGAAACATACATAAAAAAACGTACATTTTAGCATTTAAAAACCACATGGCTTACTTTGTGGAGACTTGAACAAAACAATGGAAAAAGAACAATCAGGGATTTGAAGGCAGTTTTTTGACAATTGCACTGAAAAACTGTATTTATGTGTGAAAGTAAAACAAAGAGCCTTTTATTTTCCTCTATTGAACCCCTAGGATTGAAACACAGCAAAGCACAGGCCCAGGTGAGGTTCAAACACACAAAAATAATAATAAAACAAAACAGAAAGTTTGGATTGTGAAATATTTATCACAAAAAACAACAGCTTAAAAGAAGAGGCGAAGCTTTTGTTGCAGATAGCTTTTTGAATGTTTAGATTGACGAGTGTATGGCTAGTCAGAGAATGACCAAGTACAATGTTGGATTTCTGGTGTCCTGTAATGGGAAGTGCTACAGCTAGCTGCTCCTGCTGTTATCTGTACTTGCTGATAACTACAGAATCATATCATAATAACTGCATAATGCAACATTCATAGTGATTTAAATGTTTATAAAATAKCATTTGCATGAACTGCATTTTTTTAGACTTGAGTTGTTTTCAGACACATTGGTTGGTGCTGCATTCCTATTATCTGTTAGCTTATCAATCCAGTCAAAATTAAACAGTATTTCTTCAATAGGAGGTCATTCAAAGAGCTATCTACAACAGGTAGGATACTTACTGTTCATAACCTTTTGAAGCCCACTTCAAAAGATTAAACTGTTGATTTAATATCAGATTCACAAATGCTGGTGTGATTCCACATGTTGGATTTAATGTAGCTTCTGTAAAAAAAAATCAGTTTCAATGAGTTCTTTTCCTTTTCTATAAACATTTAAACAGCATAAATTATGAGAAATGTTGAAAAGAAAAGAGTCTGAGGGATGAAAAAGCCTTGGAGAAAAAACATGAAAAATGTCCTGAATACAAATATAAATATTTTTTTAATTTAAACTTAAGCTTCCAATCGTTGAATTTGATAATACRTTTGACTCTAAAGTGACTACAGGCAAAGAAAAGAAAAGCACAATAAAWAATGCAAAGGTAGCAAATGCAAAGCCAGTGAGATCAGTATTAATGATGAGATGTGATATGGTTTTTGTGTCYACGTTCACAGAATACCTAATGATCAGAAGTCACTTCATAAAGTTATTCTGCATCTCATAGTATAAAAATGAAATATCTGCTTTAAGACTGTATCAAAAGCTCTCCTGCATTAGCAGCTAGAGGTCATTTAAACGTTAAGTCTTGGTACAATATCTGTACCCCTACTGCAAGACAAACACAAGCTGATATTAGCTGCTGCAAAATGGGGGGAAACAAAAACATCCCAGATCCACTCAGATTTATCAGCCAGAGAAAACCTATGTTCTTACAATCTTTTACTTAGGTCTTATCAGATACTTTGCTCTAACCRCACCAGCTGCTTCCACTGACCGCATGGCCACGGAGATCACCAGCTACCCTTCCCATTATTTATTTACTCAGCATCGAGAGTAATAGGATTATTTATGTATTTATTTGGAGTTTTGGAATGTGCAATTTGATCACAGCAGCTGTTGTTTCTCAGCCGCTGTCTAAAACAACGTGCTCGTAAGCCGAATCCTGCACATGGATGGCCGTGTTGACGATGGGTTACCGGCAGGCACAGCACAACTGCTGGTAGCAAACGKTCTACCTGAGTGGCTYTTCATCTTGATGAAAGAATCCACCTGAAGGGTTTTAACACTGAAACTAACCAAGAATTACAGCTATACAGTCTAAATATGCCATTATGTATAAATAAATCTTTTGTTCTCTCTCTCTTTTGAACAGCATTACATTTTTTTTAACTTGGTGAATTCTTTAGGAGTAAAGCTAAATTATTGTGCTCAACTTGTAAATGTCACCTACGTCAAACAAATGTCAGCATGTGGGTGGACTGGCTGACCAGGATTCTGGGATTTGTCCTTTAGCAGAGGAGCTATTCATAGGACTTCACCTTGAACGTGACGTTGTACCAACTTTATCCTACGTGCAATATGAAACACTGTCCAACAGATGGCGCGTAAAGCAATATCTTCTAAATTAAATGGAAACAACCTTCCTATGGCAGAGATCGACCTCAGCGTAATGAGCCTCACCCTCTGTCTGGGGAGGGTGTGTGTGTGTGTGTGTGTGTGTGTGTGTGTGTGTGTGGTGGGGGGGAGCTTCTATAAGGCACAACACACTTTACACATAAATTCTCTCTTTTCCTCATCTCCACCGTCATCCTCCACCCTCATGTGATTCACTTTCGATGCATGTAACTCTTAAGGTTGTTTATTTGCCACAGCAATTCTGTCTCAGAGAAAGATGTTAGTTGAATCAAAGAGAAATAAATAACTGAAAAGAGCCTCGCTTCTCCTTGACTGGTCGTGTCCTTCGTGTTCAGGAATGTTTCACTAACGTGGTGCTCCCATAAGCAGCAAGAAGTCTTTTAGCCAACAGTTACGCTTACTGATAAAAGACGCTGAAGACAAAAAAGGAGTAGTTTGATTCATTGGGTATGCAGACGCACCAGAGGACATAAGTGGTGACAWCATGAGGGAAAAATTGTTATCAGGTAGTTAGTGGAGTATCCAACAGTTAAAGGTCACCAAGCACAGTGGATGAATTTGTAAAGACAATACCCCACATTAACAGCAACTGATAGAGTTTATGACTACGTTTATATGGCAGGCAAATACGACCGATATCCTGACAGTCTGAACGAGATAAATCAAATTTTTTTCAAATCAGGCTCAGGCCTGGTCCATATGAGGTACTAAATCAGAYACATATTATACCTCATTCTGAATGCTTGTGTTGCTTTTCATCTGACCTTTACTTTAGTTAAGTATAGGGGTTAGCGGATCGTTCCAAATAATAATGATCCTAACCTCAAGTCATGCAGTTTAAATCTTGTAGCTCCCCACATCCTCAGCTACAGAACAGAAAGCCATTTGCTTTGTCTTTATTTATTTATTTTATTTTCCATGTCCTGGATGATTGAGAATCCACAGAAACATATAATAGTAACATCCAACATCAGTTGTGTACCTTATCGATGCTAAAGTTACTTGATCAATAATTTAGATTTAGCACGTCGCTTTGTTCCAAAAATAAAATGCTGCACCGGTGCAGCCGGCAAAGCTAAACTGTAAACACTGGACTAAACAAGCATGTTAGATAATTATTTAATCAGCTCTGATTGAACAACAACTTCAGAATTGACATGCTAACAAGTAGCATCCATGTTTRGCTACGTCATCTTCTGGGCATGCGGGTCATATCAGTTCCGTAGAGAGTTCACACTCGAGTTTTATGGTCRCATTTAAAATATAATGTGAACGTACACAAAAATATTTTTTTATCGGAATTGAGAATWAAGACCTGCAGTGTGAATGTAGCCTATGAGGCAGATATACAGATGTCACAGTGGTCCAAGGTTGAAACTGACCGATAAATGAAGTCAAAAACTACACTTAAAACTCTTTCAGAAGACTGTACTGCTAAAAGGCTGAACAGCCCATTCTGTGTTGATTTTCCCTCTGGCAGTTCAGAAGTCACAGACAGAGACACTCTTACCATACTCAAAAGCACAGTCAGAGAACATTAATCAGTGTGAAATCAAAAGAGGTGTGGAAATAAAATTGGCCGATTTGACCTGATAACAGCAGAAAGAGTTGCAGAATGGCACTTGCCACTTATTATGTAGCCCAGAATGTCCAAGTATGTCTTTATAAGGTCAAAAACGGCTGTATTTGTGCTGCTGCAGACTTTAGCCAGTCTGTGCCAGTAAAGTTTGTATTAATCTCTTTCTCTGAATGTAAGTTCAGACCGTACATGTCTGTTCCGTCACAAAACTGTGACATAATAGTTCAGAAAACATAATAGAAAATAGATAAAACTGAACGGGTTGAAAAATATGACCCAAACAGGATAAAGATGCCTACCGAGCGAGAGAAAGTAAATTCAAATTTTCTGCACTCCTAGAGACACCAAGCACACAACAAAATGCTAAAAAATGCTAATGGCTAAAACGTGGATTTTTACGGAGCCCCCGAGGGGACATGGGGGATTTTTTTCTTTTGCGTTACCTTGCAACATTGTTTTGCGTTCCCACGCAAAACTTTGATTTTTATATTAACTGAATTAAATCAGACTTTTATTTTTGAAATATCCGGTTACCAAAACAGGATGTGTCACCACAAGTCCATGAAATTGACATTGATGTTGCGTGGCTGCACTGTGTTAAAATTGCGACATATGACATACTTCCATGTGTGGCTGTGTGATGTATTCATTCTGAAGCTGAATTAAAGCAGTAGGCTAACTCGCTAATGGTAAAYGTGAGTTTGTTGATAAACCGGCAGGCACAACAGTGTTTAACGACTTTTGCGAGGGAACGCGAAAGGTATTGCGAGGTAACGCAATACTTTTGAGTGGGAACGCAAAAAGAAAAAAAATCCCCCGTCCCCTTGCAGGCTCCATAGATTTTGCATTATACTGTGTGTCCCCTTTGAGAAATCATTTGGGTGGTCCTCTAAGATGTAAGTCAGTGCTATGCAAGCCCACCATTTGWGGTGCTAAAGAGGTGGGGTGTTCCAGTCCCCCCTCTCCGCCTCTGTGTGTCTTCTGAATGAACCGTGCTGGTCATGTGTCAGTAATGATATGGGGTGTCTTCTGAAAGAGCCAACAGTGACAGCTCTGGTCACCAAAACAGATTACACCAGGAGAGGATTTTCACATGATGCACTCTCTATTACTCACACAGGTTTTGGACATTTACAACACAGCATGACTTCATGACTGTATCAGACAGACATGTTCACTGTCCCTTCCAACAGCTGCAGTGGTGGGGATGCTGTAACCTGGAGGTACGAGCTGATAATGAGTGGTATTCAGCAATGTGTTCAGCAATATTTTCCTTTATTCTATGCACCTATGGAAAGGAGAAGACCAGCCCTGCTAATGTTGTGGAGACACACTGGTGCTACTCCTGGCATCATGGTGTTGGGACCCACAATGTTWGACTTCAAGGGGGCCCTGTTGGCATGTCTTACCCCTCTGGTACAGTTCTTCAACAAGACAACACCCATCCACACAGGCCACGTGTCTATAGACCATCTGCATCATGTTGAAGGAACCAGGACCCTGGTTTTTCACCAGTCAACCATGTGTGTGATCGGCTCAGATGTCCCCTCTGAACCATTTCTGATCTGCTGGATCAYGAGGGCCACTTACAACTGTTAGGTTGACTTGCTGCAAAGCCACTTACAAGTCATAAATTTAAACTGGAATGCCCCTCTAGAGGGAATTCCCTGTTGGAAAGTGGGAGTGTTCAGACTTCAAGGTGGCAGCTACTCACAACTCAACAGTGAATAAAACTCGTTTACGTTTACTTTTAATGGTATTTCTGTCTTTTTTTATTTCACATTCAGTCAATCGACATGTTAAAACACTCTATGCAGGAAATACCACAAAGACCTCAGTTATTGTTAGTGGTGCAGCAATGCGATGAGGAACGAGGTATCGAAACATCAAAGTTAATTACAGCTGGCCCTTTGAGGGCCACCATAATGCTCATGTGGCTCTCCAGCAGCATCTTCAAAATGACACCTACCTGTCAAGATTGATGTGTAAATAAATTTCTCATACTGAAAGTGAAATTTAATTAAAATGCACTATTTTCAGAAACATGCCAATAGCTTTTTTCCATCAATTTCTGACAGAAACAAAGATCTTAAAAGCTATTTTTTTAACCTTTATTTCTCTTAAGAGGCTCTTTAGAGGCTCTTCAGAGGCTGTTCAGACGCAAAGGCAAGCAGCAATGAAAAATAAGAGTTCACAAGCTTTCATAGCCTCGGTTGCTGACTCGCAGGTCAAAGAGAATTTATTCACACATTCTTCTCACACAGTCAGCCTTGATGTGAACTATAAACTGAGTCTTTTTGAAAACAGAGCGTATTCAGTATAATCCAAATAATTTACAGTTCACAGTTTGTTTTCCAGTTTACAGTACAAGTGTTGGTTAAAGATGCTGGTAGGAAAACTTAAAAAAGAGGGTTCAACAAAATGTCAAAGTTTGGAAAACATAGTCATGAGAAAAATCAGGTGAATCTTCTTGTTATCTTCGGTTTTTAACGTGACATTTTTCGATGTCACTTCCCACCACACCCCACTCTTGTCCTCACTGGACGTCGACGGTCATGCCGTAGTCCGGGCTGATGGTGAACAGGATCTTACCATCTGTTTCCTGCTCTTCGAACACTATGACCTGTGACAGAACACACACACACAGATTCACACACAAATCGCAGCTGAGTCAAGGTGGTTTTCATTATCATCAAAACATGAACTCAAAAAAATAAAAAGAGAAACTGTTCAAATGTTTGAGCTCAATAAAACTAAAAATTAATGAACAAAACAGACTTTTCTGTGTTAATGCTTGACCATGATTCTGGTTTGTCATACCTGTTAATGATATGTGACTGTTAAAATTGAAATAGTTGGAGAAATATAAAGTACGAACTCCTAATGAATGACAACAATTTGGAAATATTTGGTCAGAACGGCAACACTTGGAAACATTTTTTTCAGGGAGTTACACAAGGAATAAAACTTGAAACATTTAGATTGTTGGCTGTTCAGTATTTTGGAACTTGGCCTTGCTGTTACACAAAGCCAAACATTTTAAAAAATCCTATTAGGCTCTGGTACAGAAACGATTGGGTATCAGCTGTAGATGAAAAAAAAAAGTTTCCTTTTTGTTTGGAGACACTTAAACTGAGTTTATACTCTGTCAGATGTGACGAAATCAGCTCTCGCTCACATACGCAGCTGTGAGGCAAAAATAATGTCATGCTGTTCTTGACACAAGGTCTGGGCAGAATTCTTTTCCTTCCAGAGGTTTGCATCACCTATTGTGTGATTGGCCAGAAATGTGATGTGGGGCTGATTTTTACGACCGTGATGTTCCATGAGCTGCTCGGGAACCAGTTTAGCTGTGGTCACACTGGGAGTACAAGCTGCTGGGATCCAAAGGCTTTTTATTAATTCAAGGAGGCATGACGTTCTGTTGTTAGCATCATGCCAAAACATATGTTTATGTGGGAGGCTGTAGCAGAGTGGTTGGGGGAGTTGTTCTGTGACCAGTGGGTTGCCAGTTCTGGGCAAGACACTTCACCAGCCTTGCTTGCTGGTGGTGGTCAGAGGGTTCCGCTCCACTCCGCTCCGACCTCCACAGCAAATACGCAACCATTATAATCAATGAGAGCATTTACACTGGCTCTGCACTGCGGTGCAGGCGGGCAGTGTGCAGACGGTGAGCCGCCAAAATCAGATTCAATCCTATTTTAGCAGGATGCTGGAGCTGCGCCGAAGTCAGTCTACAAAGATCACATCACAGCAACAGGAACAGGAATGAGCACAACATCCGTATTTTCAAAATAATTCCCAAAAGGCAGACAATTTTTGTCAAAATCCTAGCTATATAAATAAATAAATGGATATACAGTATCCATCTATCCATCATCTATACCTGCTTCTTCCTGTCAGGGTTCCAGCAGTCACAGTGCGAGGGGCAGTGTACACCCTGAACTCGTCACAGACATACACAGTATTTCTACACAAATGTTGTCAAAACCTATCACTCTGTTTGGGAAGCAGATGGCAACATGTAGCACATGCATATACACATAATACTTGTGGATTTTATTTTGAAATCTGAAGAAAAAGACAACAGCAATACGGTTTTAACTGTGTTTGGAGCCCGTCTTTCACAGAATTAAGTCTTTTGCTCTGACTTCCACATTTATCACTGGACTTATCATGTGATCTCACATTTCCTGCACATGCACAAACAAACGGTGGCGAACTGCGCAGCGGAGTGGGGCCGCACGTAGTGTAAATTAGGGGTCAAGTGTAAAGTGCTATAACGTTCGTGGGATCATGATAAAGCTTTATATAAGTTCAGGCCATTTACTATTTACACACTACTCTCCACAAATTCTTGCACATGTGTACACGGTTTCTTTTTTGTATTTTGCTGTATTTTTTCACTTCTTTTGTACTTTTTTTTATTTCTCCTCAATAATCTTTACGACCTGTTGCAAATGCTACTGGATGCCTTAAATTTCCCCTTGTGATTAGTATCTATCCATCTACCCATCAACCTTTCCAACTTATCTATCCATTAGGGGTGCAACGATACAGAAAATTCACGATTCGGTTCGGGTCTATACTTTAGTCTCACGATTTGATATTTTTTCGATACAAAAAAGAGAAATGTCCATGCCCCTTTTAACTTGTAATTTATTTAAATTAATTATGAACATTTGTTTAACCTCAAAAGTACAGTTTTTAAATTAAATGTTGCTGAAACAGCAAGTTTCTCAGTGGATCTGCACTCAAAAATGCAGCCTAGGTGGAGTAGTTGAACACAGATCCACTGATCCTTCAACACAGAGCATCTTCAGAAGACAAGTTGATAAAATATATTTTAAAAATCTGTATTGTTCCATACAAGTGTGTATTGAACCTAAAGCTCTGTTCGATACTCTGTATTGTTGTACCCCTACTATCCATCTATCTAACTAAAATGAAAACACAAGTGTTCATCTCAGTACTTGTTCTCTGGCTTTTGTAAATAAAAATGGACATATGTTGTTTGTCATCTGAGGATATTTTTTTATCTTGAACTCACGTTTTACCTCAACAGTGTGTGAGGTGGTTTACAGATACAGTACCTGGTTGTCTCCTCTGTGAAGCCATGGACCTGGAACATAGAGAGTTTGCTGAGGACCAACAGACCAGTAGCGTCCCAAGTTCTTGCCGTTTATAAACACAACACCTTTGCTCCAGCCCTGCAAACACAACCAGTTACAGGATAAAAAAAACACACACACACTATCTTTTCTAATGTGCTTTCTTTCATTCCATTCAGTCTGAACTGTTAATTAGAGGTCCTGAATTTGCAGACAGAACAGATACTCTACCACCCAGGGGAAATGACTTTTCAACAGGAGCTGGTTTCAGTCAATAATTGTATTATGCAGACATTTATRAAAACAGAACATCTTATTCTTTTTCCCCTAGAGAAGCTTGTAAAGTATACTCTGACCTTACTAAAAGGTTACCACTGTATTTTTATGCGAACTATTCCATTAATTTAAAAGAGAAATGACTCAATAAATTATAGAAGAACTCAGTGTAGCTGGGAAGGACTAAATGTAATCACCTTTTTGACTTTACTACCATAATAATAA